AAACGCCATTTTTAACTACGTTTTGGACAGTTAACTATACCCTAAAGCATAGTTAACTTTAACTACTTTTTAACTGCAGTTAGCGCTAACTACACTTTATACAACCGGCTTAACTACGTGATTAAAGTTAACTATTTTTTAAGGCTTTTTAACTACTTTTTAACTGCAGTTAACGCTAACTACGTTTTTATACAACCGGCCCCTGGTGATAAATATAATAGAAATTTATACAAGCCGGGATCCCGTTCATCGTCCCGTCCCGGCAAACGTCCCGTCCCGCCTCCCATATAAACAGCCCCTAAGACTGGGCCGCCTGTGGTTAGACAAAAAATTTATTTTCTGGCATGAACATGTCCGCAGAGTTTGCATTTTGCTATTTAATTAAACTTAAAAATTCAAGGTACTTTTATATAATTAAGAGTCAGTTTCTCTATTTAACCGAACAGCAAACAAAGATTTAATTAGTCAGTTCTGTGCACGGCTTGACTGCCAAGCTTTCTCAAGGTCTCAACTTGCTGGACGCGGATATACTCTATTGAACGGGCTAACAACAACAACAATGAAATTCTCAATCGTACCACGAAGAAGGCGATGTAGCTCAGTAACGCCGGTAGGATCTGATATTAAAAATAAGACTTTTGCCGGCGAAGCCAGTTGGCAGAACATCTTGGCTGTCAACAACAAGCTTTCGAATACATGACTAGTTCGGCTGTTCTTTCAGCGTCGTGTGTCCAAAATTCGTCAAAGATTTTGATGAAGCCCTTTCAAAATAATGTTTGTTTGATTTACTTTCTGCCATAAAGCATAAAAGAAAAGAAATTCGAAGAAATCGATAATGAATTTGTTACGTGCGTTTGACCTTTATATTAATTGTCGCCTTGAGCGAGCGAGCTATTTTTAAAACTGTTGTTTATGTGAACTTGCAGCCAATCAAAATCTTTCATGATGCTGATCAACCAATCAGATTTCCCGTCCACCAGATGGACGGGAATCCCACGGTTTAGACAGGTTTTGTGTCAGGCCCTATTCTGTGGTTAGGGGCTGAACTTCAGGTTACTTCAGCCCAGGCAACGTCTTCTCCCGGCCGTCGGTGATCACGGAAAGCTGGGTTCGCATAAAACAGCCCCTAACTGAGGTGTTTGCAGTTAAATTAAGGATTTGACTTAAATAAAAAATTTAAATACAAGTCATGAGGCCAGGTATAACTGAAAGGAAGATAAAATAAATTAGACTCCAAATGATGCACCATTTTTATTTTCTGCCTATGATTAATAAGTACTTGCAACTACAAAATAAAACATCTACAAAATGAGTTGTGAATGTTCGGTCATAACTCATAAATAAATTAAATACGATACAAATTATTAGAAATATTTCCACATATGTGATCAATAATTCATACAAGTTCCATTCACGAGTTTTCGTCCAACATCTTATTCTTTTGTGCAGCATGCTTCTAATACTGGATGACAACTTTACAACCGACAGTAATGTCCTTACGTGTCCAGCCCGACCCTCGAGTCCTTTCCATTATCGTGTGCTCTATTGGTTCGCATTCAAATCCACGATTCCCTTCTAATCTAATATTTATGTTTTTTGTGCATTTCGCATTATTATAGTAATCTGTTTATAATGCCAATGTAGTATAGTCGCCGTCCGATTGAGTTGTTGTTACTTTATCCGCATTTCCTGATAGTTCACACATGTCGAACTCCTCATGTCTACGCTTTGACAGTTCAAGGTCTCTGTTGAAAGGAAGGTGCCTTGCTGAAGTTAAACATTATTTGTTTATACATAGATACCGCAAAATCATTGAAGTGATTATTAGTCGGTTTTTAGTTGGGGGATTCACATACACGTTACACAAGCAACATTTGAAATCGTTTTATAGAACTATTGTGATAATTTGGGTTGGGGAAAACACATTAACCAACACCAATCAGAAAAATCTGCAATCAAGTCGATATATACGCCCGTATTCTAAAAGCTCACTCACACTCAAAGAGTGGAAGTTCAATCTGAGCTTCTCTTGAGTGGCAATGCTGTTTTTGAATAGCTGGAGGTCACATAGTAAAGGTACCACACTAACCATCCAGCTATTCAAAAACAGCAATGATACTCGAAAGAAGCTCAGACTGAACTTCCACTCATTGAGTGTGAGTGAGCTTTTAGAATACTGGTGATAGTCCAAGTAAAGCGTAATATATCGCCAACATGGTTACTTATAAAAACTACTTAAAAACGCAGTGTGTCAGTGCAGGTAGTGCCAATAGTAAGAAAGCTTCGGATTGATTGGTGTACTACTATACCTGAAAAATACATCGTCAATGAGAACTTTGACGTTTCGAGCAAATTTCCGAGGAAAGGTCGTCGTCGCTCAAAACGTCGAAGTTCTCCTTCTATTTTTCAGATAGTTGTACCTCCCTCGATCCGCGCTTTCTTAATTAGTTAACACTAGTTACCCTTTTCCCGGAAATTGAATATTTTTGCTTAATTTTTTTCTTTCACGTTCTTCGTCGCGCCAGCTTCAACTAGCATTTACAGAGTTAAAATCGATATTGATGTTCCGTTGTCCTCCTTCAACCTCGTTTGATGATGCGCCAAAGCACATCTCTTTGCCATTTGAATATTTGTCGATTTTAGCACGCGCAGAACACTTTTCTTACGCCCGCATTGCCATTGTGAAAAATATAGCTACATGCTTATATATTTCCTACCGATACGACCTGACCAATTTTCATTGAACTGCTGACAACATCTAAAATTACTTCCCATACAAAAGATGATCAGATTCGGCATTTCCTACATATTTATTTCCCTTTTTAGTTTGCGCATGCACTTGTATATATATTTTCACTAGCAGGCCACCAAAGTTGTCTAATATGCACATTTGCTTACGTGCAGTGTCATATTACTCATCGCAGTAAAGGTGGATTGTAAAGAACCTACTTGTAAAAGATCTGAGCCTGCAGGTTGTTCCAATTTCGATCAGATCTAATCCTGGGTTAGACTTTAACCCGTTGGAGTCGGTCTGTGTATTTTTCAACGCACGTTAATTTTCAAAACTTCATAAAAAAGAACTCCTATTAACACATGCAGAGTGCAGACAAGATTACTGGGAAATTTATATTTCCAAGCTTGCAAGCAAGCGGTTGGGAGGTTTGCATCCAACAACTGGGCCTTGAAGTCATTATTTGAACTCATAATCACATTTTGTTTGGCGCATGGAAAGTTTGAAGTTTCTGAACTCAGCCTTAAAAGTCACTGTTCACAAACAAGTTCACACTATTAGGCCTATACTGCATTTTCTCAATCATAAAATACCTGTAATCATCCCAAAAGAAATTTTCATATTTTCGCGCATCTGCAAATATGAAGGATGCAACAACGAACAGGAATATCTATGAACAAAAACGTTTTATTATATAAACATAAGTGTTATATAGAGTTTTTGGCCACTCAGAAAAATCGTATTTAAACACACGTAAAAAATACGATATTTTTACTGTGAAAATATCATTTGTTGTAAAACGCATTGCCACGGACGTTTTATTGGTTTTCACTGAATTTTGTTTATATAATAAACAGAAAAATACATGGGTGCTTGGAAATACCAGATTTATTTCTCGTGTTGAACATGATATCTCACTCGTTCGCTGCACTCACTCGTGAGATACCATGTTCAACACTCGAAATAAATCTGGTATTTCCGCGCACCCATGTATTATTCTCTATATAATTTATAAGAAATTTTGAATTAATTAAATATATACCTACTTGCTTAATTTTCACGAAATTTTTGTTTCTATCATATACATGAATTTACGAGTCCATAATCTTAGAGATAAAACACTTGACAAAATTTCTTGCATGTGTGAGAATTGTGCATGACAAACTCAAGAGACGAAAGCATGCGATAAGTAAAGGATTTTTTTGGCCATAAAACTCTCGTAATCATATAGCTGTCATAAATTTTTCTTACATTCTATAGCATCTTCTTTTTTCCTTATGTAAGAAATTTAACGGTCTTTTGTAGAATTAAGGGTTCTTAGTCCAGAGAATGAACTTCCTGATGATGCTTGAAGCTCTTCTTGACTCGAAATGTTGATTTCGCGAACAAAGAAAGCACTACCTCGATGTGTGCCGGCAGCTGACAGACAGTGCCGCAAATGCCACAAATTTGCGTTTATATTCCTGCAAGAATCATTTACATTTTGCTCTATTGTTCTATCTTTCTTTTACAGAATTTTTTTTATGTTTTTCGTGAAAAAGTATTGAAACGTATGAACAAATACACGTATACATTTACACTCTTTTTAAACGGTTTGTACATCTTCATCATAAAATACAAGATACTTGACCGCAACCCGCACGCTCGAAGAAGCGTTTACATTTAAAAATAACATTCTGGACCAAGTTTAAAATATTCAATTCCAATTTAATTTGCCAATCTCCTAGTTATATATTCTTAGAGTTAGTTATGTCATGATGATTAAGCATCTAAACGGACAAATTACATATATAACTGCGTAGACAACATTCATTAATTTGGATCCGGACAAAGAAAATCGTTATATACAGCTAAAACAGAACTGGGAGTGGGAATCATCGTTAAACACTAGTGGTACGGCAACATGACATTTTGTTAAGCGCCATAACGTTGATATTTAACAAAATAAAAAAAGTTAAGAAAGTATTGAGAAAGTTAAGTTATCGACTATACCTTGAACATCATCCTGCTGTCTTATTGGTGGTTTTCAATATATTCTTGCTTTCTTCTTCAGTTAACAGGATTCAATAGCAATCTTCTGATAGCCAGACCAAGTGACTTGTCCTTTTTATATATGTTCAATACGCATACTTAATATATAGATTCAAATAGGTGCAGCTGCAGACGCGTATAGATCCTTAAAATAGTACAAAAGGTTGGTGAAGTGGAATGAGTTTATAATGAATGGATGCTCAGTTAAACACTCGCTGTTGAATCGTTGTTGTAGGTGGTTATTTTGAGTGTACGCGTGTATATACATATTAATTATATATGCAGTAGCGCAGCCAATCCGACGATTTAGTCCCGCTATGCAAATATTTTCGTGTTCATTGACTGTGAAAACAATCAATATCTAAAGAAATGAATAATGATAATAATTTTGAATTTGCAAAGCGAGTCTAAATCGTTGGGCTGGCTATGTCACTATATATGCGTTTTCTGACCTAACCAGGAACAGCTACGAAAAATGCAATGGCATATATAATAATATTAATTTTCTGCAATTGAGCCTTGATTAATTTAAATTAATTTTAAAAGCATGAAAGTCACAGTCAAAATTCCATCCACATAAACCCTTCAACACTGACAATTTCACTGTTTAATCATATTTTGGTTTTATGATGGCATTCACTGCTTATCTTTCGTGGTGTTTCCACAAACAAAACTACTATATGTGAATATATAGTTTGTCATTTTTTTCTCTAATTGAGGACAATCTACATCTAAAGCTATCTAAATACGGGGTTCTTGTTAACCATTCTCAATCTACATCTAAAAACGGGGTCCCCGTTAATCATTTCAGCAATTCGCGTAACCTGCACATTCTACGAACAGAAATTAACGCAGCCGTTACGACTTTGAAAAGTTTAGTCTCATCTATAAGTGATTATTTCGCCCACGCATTGAGGTAAATGATTGTGTAACTTCAAAGAGGGCGAAAAGTGCAAACAAAAACTATAAGTGCGCGCCAAAACTCTGAAAGCGTCTTAAACTGCGCTAAATAGCTGTCACAACAAATATTTTCAAAAGTTGTTGGGGGCACTTGCGGAAACAGATTGCAAGTGAATATTTACAAATTATTGCAAAACTTTATCTCCCTCCCCAATGCAGATTGGTACACTATAGTGCACCAAAGTAAGATATGCTCACTGAGAACCGACATTGAACAGGCGCGGGAGGGTCGGAGGGATGTTTTTCAAAAAAAAAACCAGACAGGTATATATAGTTATATATACTTGGAGTATCTGACTCAGCACATTCGAAAATGATGGAAGATGAACTCTATAGTTTCATGTTGGTCAAAGATGCCTAGTTTATTACTTTAAATTAACTCTCCGTGGTATTTCTTATATTTGATCATATAACACCACATTCATTTCCTCAACACAGTTAGAACTATTTTCAGTTATTCGTGAAACTTTTTGTCAGAAAAGTTAATTAATTAAATGTTTTTCCTTTGCACCTACACGATGACAGCCAAATATATAAGGCCCGGTTTAGACTGCGAACTACGACACAAGAGCGGCATTTAAAACAATTAAGTTTGGCAAGTTTCTATTAGGCACTATAGTCACTATAGCGACGGCACAAAATGTGGCAATGTCGTATTATGATATAAAGGCTCGACATGAGTTTAGACGCAGTGCCTTTCATTCACCGAACCTGTTGCATACTTTTTTTAATTAACGAACATTACCATATATGATTATGATATACATTAGCAATTTAGGACTGAAATTTCTAATAGTGTACTTGTATTTGCCACGGCGCAATTAAGTCCGACGTCTAAATCAGTTGTCGAACTTGTGCCATAATTTGAACAGGTTCGGCGCACGATAAGTTCGCCGTCAGTTTTAACTGGGTTTCAGTCCTCCTAGTTGATTTCGTGGACCAACAAGAACAAGTTTGGGCTTAACAGGACTGAGCAAGTTAGACATTATGCAT